AGAGGAGGAGAGACAGAGAGGAAGATCTTCCATCCACTGACTCAATCCCCAAGTGGCTGCAATAGCTGGAGGTAAGTCGATCCAAAGCCAGGAGTCCGGAATCTCTTCCAGGTCTCCCATGTGGGTACAGGGTCCCAAGGCTTTGGGCTGTCCTAGACGGCTTTCCCAGGCCACAAGCAGGGAGCTGGATGGGAATCGGGGTCACCAGGATTAGAACCAGCAGCCATATGATATCCTGGTGCATGCAAGCCGAGGACTTTAGCCATTAGGCTACTGTGCCAGACCTTTCTCTCATCCTTGGATCGACGAGATTAACATTTCAAAACTATTAAAACTACTGGGGAAAAACCCTCAGAGTATGCTCCACATTGCAATCCTGGCTTGATATCAAATGGCCATTTTCCAATCTTGGATTCTGAAGCAGTTGGGAGGTTAGGTATGGCTTTTCCTCTTATCCCTCCTCCTCTTCACTCCCCGAAATAAAGAGAAATAGAAAATTTGGAAGCAATGATCACACCCACTTTTCCCTAACCCTTGATCTGATCAACTATGTTAACATCACTTAAAATTAAAAATAAACTTAAAAAAAAAAAGATGTTCAACAGATGACAAACAAACTAGGATGCGTCTCCTAGACTCCCAAGGAGAGTGCCTGGGATCCAGTCCTCATTGCGCCATCTTCCAGATACATAACTTCAGCCATAACATGGGCCAATCCATGGCATGATAGAGATCTTTCATTTGATAGCTCACTTTCCCAGTGGCTGCAATGGCCAGTGCTGGACTAGGTCAAAGCCTGGGTCTTCCACATGGGTGGCAGGAACTCAAGTACTTGGGTAATCTTATATGGTCCAGGGAGCTGGATGGGAAGCAGAGCAACAAGACTCAAACTGGTGCCATTATGGGGTGTTGGCACTGTGAAAGTAAGTTAACCTGCTTTGCTATAATGCTGGGTCCTCGGATACTATTTCAAAGAATTCTGTTTTCTTGTTTGTAAAATGGGTGTGTTAATGGTATCCATTTCTTGGGGCTTTTCTAACGTCTATATGGAACCTTGCATTGAGAAGGACCATGCCTAGAACTGAGGCCACCATGAGGAACCCATAAACATTTGTTTTTGGTGTCATTCCTGCAGGCTTGGTTCCTGTGGTTCAGATGTAAGCACGAGAGACATTCAGAGCAGAGAGGGCAACCTGCAGTGCAGTAAACCAAGGAGACATTACTTAAACCTCACAACACCTGGATTCTCGATGTGGTTAGATTATCTCCGTTACAGATGGATCTCCATTACATCTCCAGGAGGAGATGGCACAAGAGATGAAAGAACTAGCACAAGATCATTAAGCCAATTAACAACAGCCAAGGCTCGCTGAGCCTGGACAGTCCTGCCCCAACATCTGGGTCTTCATGTGCATGCTGCCCAGCCATGTTCCAGAAGGCTGAACTGGAGGACAACCACAGAGCATCAGGTGGGAGGAAGGAGGGATCACCCTGCTCTCTGCCCTCTCACTCCATCTCCCTCACCCACCTGCTTCCCTCAAGGTCTCTCTTTTCTGGATCTTGCACTTCCCCACCCTACATGAAGTTTTTAGGGTGGGCAATGTTGGAGCAGAGCTTTGAAAGTTCCATAGGAGTTTTCCAAGAGTAGGAGATAGTGGTGAGCAGGCTTGATGGTATGTTCAACTCAACTATACACTCAGTCCTCTGGGAGTCTCCATGCCTCAGTTTCCCATCTGAAAACATGAGAATAATCAGCACCTATGGCATCTTAGCATTGTTGTAAAGATCCCACAAACCATTGTACGTGAAATTGCTTTATTGGGTAAATGGACATGGTGCTCCTCATAGGCCAGGGGCTATTCTCTATGCTTCACACATTAGAAAAAGGGTCAAGAACATGCCTAGCACATGGTGCATGTAACACACATGCAGTGTCATGAATGCCATCACAACCACTGTGCACCTGCTGGGTGTGATCACCTTGTTGGGCATCTTGATCTGCTCTTGCCTCGGATCCCACAGGTGTCTTCAGTGATCTGCACTGTGCTCTCCCTGGTCCAGGACTGACAATGATAGTAAGCAAGGTCAGGGTCACCCTAAGAAGTCCTGTGGGTGCCAGGGAATGCATGGGAAGGGCTGTAGGCATCCCGCTCTGGCAAAAGGCAAAGGGCATCAGAGGAGGAAATAGTGGAGGCCATGTCAGATGTGACCAATGGACGTGGCTGACGTCAGCAGAGCCACTCACCATTGTCTGCTTACATCTGAGAGGGCAGTCACAACACTCAAGATGGTGTTTACCGTGGGGAAGTGGGCAAACTAAGGTTAGAAGCAACACAGGCCTGTGTGGGCCAAGGAGGTGGGGCTAGCCATGCAGCTCTGCTGTGACTGTGGGCCCTGCCCTTACTCCCCTGGGAATCCCCTTCTTTCCTTCCTGCTTCTTTAAGATGTATCTACATATTTATTTGAAAGGCAGAGTTAGAGAGAGGCAGAACAGAACAGAGATGTCTTATCAGCTGGTTCACTTCCCATAGTCAGGCTAGGCTGAAGCCATGGGCCATTCTCTGCTGCTTTCCCAAGCTTATTATCAGGAAGCAGCCAGGCCTCAAATAAATGCCCACATAGGATGCTGGCATCACAGCTAATGGCATAAGGAATTATGTCACAATGCTGCCCCCCCCCCATTTATTTATAGTTCAAAAATACTGTTATTCATTAGACTTGGAAAACAGAGGGATAATGAGATCTTCCACCTACTGGTTCACTCCCCAAAAACCTATAACAGCAGAGGAGGGGCCAGACCAAAACCAGGAACCCAGAATCCACATGGAACCCTGGTCCTTGGACTGTCACCTGCTGCCTCCCACCATGCACCTTAGCAGGAAGCTGGAGCAGAAGAAGGCAGAACTCAAACTCCAACAGAAGCTGCAGGCGCCCCAAACAGCAGCGCAACTGCTGCGAGCCATGCACTTGCCATTCAATTTCTTTAAAAACACTTTATTATGGAAAGCTTAAAATAGAGTTGATAAATAATTCTGACTCTCCTCTCCTCCAAGTCCTGTTACTCAGACTACAATTACTCCAGCCCTTCTTCCTCCCCTCTGTTTTTATCACCAACTCTACCCTGGATAACCTCAGATGGCCTCTCATCTCACCTGCAAACATTTCGGTCTGTGTCCTCAGGAGATAGGGATTCTTTAAAATGGAAGTGCGTGCACAGTTGTTGGGACACGGGACCCCAGTCACATCTGGTGACTCCTGATAACCAACATTCAGTTGGTGTGAACATTCTTGCTTGATACATATGTGGTATTTCCTAACACAACTTGCCTCCATCACGATACAAGCCAGCTCTCCTCACTGGGGAGCTAACACATCTCCTACACTTCTCCAATCCCTTCTTTTCATTCCTTGTAGTTGATGAGCAAGCTGGGTTACTTGTCCTCGAGTGTCCTGCAGCATGAATTTTTGCTGACAGGGTTCATGTTCTCATCCGTGTAGCAGGGGTAAGAATGAACTAAAGTCGGTGTCTGCGAGAGGGCGCTGGCACCTGTACCTGGGGCACCCGTGGCCAGCCTGGATTCATGTGTCCTTGGGGCTTTTCAGCTTTGTCTGATGGCTTCTGCTGTTCTAATGATATCCCTGCAATTCAGAGATGCCCAGGAAACTGCCCAGGCTCCCACAGCCAGCTCAACACTGAAGGAGGAGACAGCTGGGGTGATAGGGGAGAGGAGGGAAAGCTGGAAGGGCCTGCAGGTTTAGGCAGGGACGCAGGTGCAAACCCCACTGCACATACTCACAGCTTCCAGGCCATGCGATTCTTCTCTTTCAGCCTCAGTTTCCACATTGACAACAATGTCCCAGGAGGCCCGGCTGCCTGGAGCCTCAATCAGCTGCTGGGGCAAGAGCCTCCTCCTCTCCACACCAACCTCCCCGCGTGTCGCCTACATACACAGCAGGCCTGGTGCAAGGATGAGGCTCCAGCCCTGGCAGGGCTAACCCTGGATCCACACTCAGCCCTGGCCCCACCCCTCAGGCCACAGAGACAGGGTGGGCACCCCAGAAGCTGGGGACACTTTGTTCTCAGGATAGCCTAGCCAGGCAGTAGCAAGCTCGTGGGCAGACCTGAACAATCAGCCATTCTCTCTCCTTCTCTTCAGTTTTATGTCTCCTCCCTTGGGCCAAGGAGCCCTGAGGGAAAGGCTCCAGCTGTATCCAGCAGTGCCCAGCCCATCTCTGTAGCCCAAATGAACCAAACCCATAGGCTTGGGTTCCAACCTGCCCCAAGATCATCAGTCCTCTGAGCATCACATTTCAGAAGGAATGTCTAGAAGAAATATTTGTGGGACATGGAGAGGTTTTCCTTGGAAAAGGGAAACTTGTGACCATAACACCCAACCCAGGGGAGTGGGAGTGGCTGTCCCATTTCAGGGCACAGGACAGCAGAGGAAGGGGAATAAGCAAGATGGGGTCAGCTATACCACCGGTCCTCACACGCACCATGCTCCCTGACCCAAGCTGTGCCCCATCTAGCTGCTGTAGGGTCAGGGCTGACTCAAAGGCCACCTCCACCCTGCCTCCCCACTACCCTCAGGTCCAGGAGTCAGTCTGTGGCTCTAGGCTGCCAACCCTCTCCAAGTCCATAATCTCTTCCTTTCCTACCCCACCATCAAAGATGCTGCAAGCTTTGCTGACCACGTCTTGGGGAGGCCCTTCCTCATCTAACCTTTGCCACTTTCCACCCAAGAGGTGTTAGGGTCCCATTTCACAGGTGAGAAAACTGAGGTCCAGAAGGCCAAGCATCAGAGCGAGGAACTGTGACTGACTGTGCCTAAACTTACACCATCGAAGCTCCTCCATGTGTTTCTAAGACTTCCTCCTCCAAGGTGAGCTACAGTCCCCCGTCCCAGCTCCCACCCTTGCCTGACCACAGGAACTCCATGGTCTCTCTCGATGGCCCCTCCCACACAACCTCTGCATTTATGTCACTCCGGCCAGCACACAGCATTTCAGCTTAATTTTATTTCCTCTTATAAATGGGCACAGCACGGGAAATGTTAAAAAAAAAACAAACAAACAAAACCCCAGAAACAAAATAATCAAAAACCCCAGATCCTTCACAAGGCTGGGACAGGTGAGTGCCCCTAACAGGGCAGGTGCCTGCTCTTATCCCACCATCTCTCCTTCACTTTTCCTCATCAAAAGTTTTGGCCATGAACTCGGGACAGGTATAGTTAATAAACAGGTTATAGAGGAAGAAAAGGGTAGGGAGGCAGGCCTGGGAGAGGAAGGGCCGGACTCCCACCCACCCCAGGCTGGGGTGAACGGACTCACGGTCTTGGGGGGAGAGGGGACACTGTCTTCAAGGGCTCGCTGGAGCCACACTGCCTACGGAAAATATTTACATGCATTTGCCACGCTGGGGCCAGGTGCACGCGGTGCTGGCAGGTACCTGGGGGTAAAGGAGCACCCTGAGCCCTCGGATGGCAGTAGCGACTCCTGGGGCCCAGTGTGGGCATCTCTACAGATCTGTACAGTTTGTGGACTTCTATTTACAGGCAGGAGGCCCTGGGCAGGCAAGTCCAAGGTTGTGGCCGGCGGGAGAAGTCCAGGAGAGCCCAGGAGGCCACTCCTACCCTGGGAAGCAAAGACGGGTCTGCTGCCAGGACCCCAGAGTCCCCAAGCACTCAAAGCCCCAGCGGCAGGCCCACCCAGGTCGTCAGCCACAGGCTCCCAGTGAGGGAGGCAACCTTCTCGGGGGAGACAGAGCCTGGGCCTAGAAGTTAAAGTCACAGCTCCAGACCCCAGCCTGCCTCAATGCCCTGGTAGCCAAGACCTTAGGAAGTTCTCAAGTCCCCTTCCACCCGTGCTTCCAGAAAGCAACAGGGTCCCACAGGGCCCCCCTCTTACGGGCACCGAAGAGTCTGCAGACCCACTTGGCAGGCCTGGAGTCCACTACATCATGTTTCTCAAAGGGAGGGAAAGGGGAGGACCCCGACACACATTGCACTTTGAGGAGCTCCAGCTCATGCTGGCCCCGAGTGCCTTGCCCACGCAGTGGGCTGGCCACAGGAGACCTGGGCTGTTCTAACAGCAAAGCTTCAAGACTCTAAAGCTCGGTCGAGGCCCCGGGTTCTGTGCACAACCCTTGGCCTCTTGTCTCAAATGCTAAGGATACAGAGGAGACTGGAGCCAGTCCTCCTAGCTTGGGCAGGTCTCTGGCCCCAGGGCTGCTATGCCCTGGCTTGCTTTCTCCATACTCCCTGGTTTCTCAGCCTCGGCCTGCCCAGGCCTTCTCACCAGAGTTGCTCTGTCCCCAGGACAGCAGCCCAGCAGGGGGTGGGGGAGAGGGGAGCTGGGACAGCACCTTCTCTGCTGCCTGGACCCCAGTGTTTCTGCTGCCAGGACCACTGAGGCCACGCTGCCTCCTCCAGGTCCCCTGTCCCATTTCTGCCCCTCCACCAAGGCTGGGACCAGCCGGCTTCCTCATGCGGAGGGCTCTGGTATCTGTTAGAGGGAGCCCCACCCAGAAGCAGGAGCCCCAGAACCTCGGCTTCATCACAGCTGACACCCCACTCCCCACCCCACAGAAATTCACTGCCAGGGAATTCTGAGAAGGGAATAGAACTAAAACCTGGTGGGGGTGGGAATCCTGGCAGGAATGAAGGTGGGAGCTGAGGGTATGAGCACTAGCCAATTACAACTCCCACCCCACCCTTTTGGCTCCAAGAGTTCTCGCCAAACACACCCTTCACCACTGGTGATCCCACAGCTCAAATGCCCAGGAAGTGACCCCATTTACAAAAGAAGGTAGACTGGGGCCTGTGATATCCCCACTGTCACCATCACCTGCTCCAGCCCCTCAAACCTCTGCCCTTGGGACCTGGGGTAAGGGGATACGAGGGTGGGGGGCAGGGATCCACTCATCCAGAATGGCCAAGGTGTTTGGTGGATGCGCAGTTGAGGTTGCACAGGGAAGGACCAGCCTGGGGTGGATGGGCTGAGGTTGGCCTGGCCAGGGCAAGGGCCAAGGATGCAGAGGGCCCGGGCGAAGGGCCCGCCCTCTCAGGCACTTTGGAGACTTGTGCCCCGGGAGGCAGATCGGCCCCTAGCTCAGGGCAGGAGGACACAGGGGGACCAGGAGCCAGGTCTCCTCCCTGTCCAGGGCCTTTGGTGCTGGGAAATCCAAGTACCTCCCAGGGCCCAGGGTCCAATGTCAGGATACCAAGCCCTTTCTGCCTCAGCCATGGTGAAGGCCCCAGGCTCCCAGCCAGTGTAGGCTGGCCCAGAGCCTCTCATAAAAGGTGAGGCAGGGGTAAGGCCCAGCCCAGCTGGCAGGTAACAGCCCGAGGGGGCTGTGGTCATGAGCCCCTGGAGCATCCTTCACCTAGGAGAGTGAGCATGGGGTCAAGTGAGTGGTACTAGGCACCCACGTGGGATTATGTCTGGCAGGGGCCTGGTGGGTAGAGATGTGGCTGGTGTGGGTGCCATGGCGTGGGACTGAGTGTGACAGGGCAACTCGGGGACCCAATATGGGCTGATTGTTCCAGCTTGATTCCACCCTCCCCAGGGGGCGCCTGAAAGCTGGAGACCCAAGGGTGCATGGTGGGTGGGAGAGGGACAGAGAGAGGTCACACTGTCACTGCTCACCCAAGCACGAGTCATGACCCGCACTGCAGGAAGCATCAGAGCAACTCAGGAGAACATCTTTGGAAGCACATGTGTCTATAAGAGCTGGTCTTGACTGGCTGGTGGGAGGGGGCTCATGGTGGTGTGTGATTTCATCTTTGTGTTTCAGTCCTGGGTGTGTGATCGGATGACAGTAAGTGTGACAGTGTGGGCAATGACATCTGTGCAGAGTCCCCTCCCAGGAAGGACATCAGAGTGGCTCTCTCCTCCAGTGGCTACCCCCAGCATCCTCAGGGGAAAGACGCAGAAAGAGGTGAAGCCTGGGACACCAGGGCACTGGCGAGGGATGAGGGCAGGACAGTCCCACAACCCCAAGGAGGCCAGGCCAATATAGGGAATGTGTGACCCAGGCAGAGAGAGAGGCCCCAGAACAGGAGAGGTTACAGTATCCCCATTATTTTAAGGGCTGCATTTGCCAAATTATTGGTCCTGAAAACCAGCCTCAGTGCCTCTCTGCCCTCAGACAGCCCTGCTGGGTGGAGTGCGGGCAGGGCCAAGTTGAGGGCTCAGGCCCCACCCCTTCTTCCACCAGCCAATCAGAAGCTTCCTCCTCCTGTTTATGTGACATGAGGTCCTGAAGCCCAAGGCTGGTGGAGGACGAGGGATGAGCTCGTAAGGACACAATCCAGGGCAGATGGCAGTGCCCTCTGTTCTGCATGAGGCTGGCAACCTGGATAGGCCTTGAAAGGAAGGGCAGAGAAGAACCGGGGCCAAGCTCTCCCTCTGAGGCTCAGTCCCAGGCCGGGGTTGCGGGAGGCCAGGCTGAGCCAGGCTGGGGACTGGGCAGAGGGATGTTGGAGGCTGCGGGGAGGCACTGCGGCTCCGCTAGGCATAGAACTCCTCCTGCTTGTCAGGCTTCTGGTAAGTGACGCTTGCCTGTTTGGGCTCCTCCAGCGTGTAGCTGCCCTCGTCCTTCTTCTTCATGCGGTAGATGAGCAGTGTGACCAGGAAGGCAGCGAACAGGGCTCCCACCACCCCACCAACAATCACAGCTGTGAAAGGAGAAGACAGAGGTCAAGGCCCAGAAGTGGAATGAGAACAGTGGAGAGTTCTGACGGGGTGGGGTGCAGGGAGAAGGCCAGGGTGCCTGAAGCTGAGGTTAGCACTGACTGCCGTTCGCAGGCCTGCACTGGCTCTGTTCACACCGCATCTGACTCACACTAACTCACTGGGTCCTCACACCTGCCCCCAAGCGAAGTGTGATGTCTGCACCAAATGAAGGCTGCCATCGGCTGGAGGCACTCCGGTGGTTGAGAACCACTAGGAGAAAAACTCATCCAATTAAATGGTAACTAGCCCAAAGTTAACACAAGATTGAGGTATTGCATTATGTTAGCACTGCGTGTATGCAAAATTACTACCACCATGCTACACAAAGCGAGAAGTACCTTGCCCCAGGATGTGAATCAAGAATCTGGAGATTCTAGGAGATGTGGCCAAGGCATGTCCACAGAGACTGGGGTCAAGAGTTGGAAAAGGTCAAGCTAAAGGTGGGTGAGGGGTTAGTATCTAGGAAGTGAGGTCCCCCATGGGCAGGCAGCATCACCCAGGAACACAGGAGTCAAGGAGACATAGATTAGGTCAGGCAGGGAGGGGTAAAAGAGGGGACAAGCCTGAGGTCAAGTACCCAGTGTTCATTCTAGTCTGGCTCCTAGGACAGCCATACCCTGACCTGGGGCCCAATTAGCTGCCTGGCTTAGAACTCCACCCCAGGGAAACCTCCCACCCTCCACCCCTTGGCCACACAGACCTCAAGCCTTACCTACAAGCACCTCCTTCCGCTCCAGGATACTTTTCTGAGGCAGCTGAGCAGCCGAGCTGCCAGAGTCAATGGCATTGTCCAGGATGCCAGGGCCTGGCCGGGCTCCCTTGGGCAGGGTCCCTGGTGGAGGTGACGGCTTGGCCGCAGCCCCTCCCACAGCCACCACCTCATTGGCCGCATCTGGCTGTGTGGTCTCTTCTTCTGGCAGCTCAAAGTCCCCACTGGGTCCCCCGCTTACTGGCACCTCTAACTCAGCCCGGACGGTGGTCAGGATGGATTCCGGAGTCGGGGTCTGCAGGGAGGTGGGGTGAACCAGGAGTCAGGCCCCAGAACCCCCAGCATGGAACAGCCACATACACACACACACACACACACACACACAGAGTCCCACCAAGGCTAACATTTCTTGAGCTCTCATTACAGGCGGGAGGCAGGCTCAGAGAGGTGCCTGAGCTGCCCTCATACTGAAGTAAGCCCAGCCAGGAACAGAAAGACCAAGGTGGGGGCATGGCAATCATCAAGGGCAAGGGCGGGGCAGTGGAGGAGCTACTTTCCTGATGAGCCGGTAAGGGTGGGCCTGGGGTCTGGCTGAGGATTGGCGGTGCCTGCACAGCAGCTACACCTGCAGCTTGGGGCCTGGACTCCTTGCTCTGTCATTGCTGTCCCGCTTGGCTGAGACTCTATCCCTTCTGGAGAAGTCCTAGGAAGGACCCGGGTTCTGCCACCACTGGCTTAGGGATATGGGGACCCACAGGTAGGTCCCAGCCTCAGGACCCTCCATGGAGAAGTCAGCTGCTAGGGTGACCGTGGAGCATGGATCAGCATCGCCATCTCTGTTCCTTGCCCAGACTATAGCTCCCACCTCCTCGGTCTACATGCATCCAGGTCTTCTAATACTTTCTCCCTGTTCCCTAACACACAGGCATGCATGCATACACACCCTTCCTCACCCCAGACATCAGCCCAGCTTCAGGTACCAGCTGCCTGGGCACCAGTTGGGGATACCCAGCCAGTTGTGGCACATGGGGAAGTAGCCAGCCCTCCTCCCTGGATGTCAGCTGCCTCAGCATAAAAGGAGACATCCCGAGCGCCACAGGGGGCAGAGGACGCTATGCAGAGAGAGCATACTCATGGCCAGATGCCATGCCTCCACGCCCCCTACAATCACCCAATGCCCTTTCTGCCCATGGTGTTCCCATAAGACCCAATAACCCACTCCAGGCTTCCACCCTTTCCGCCCTCACTGGCCTACTCCACCAGTGAGTCCTGACTCACAAACCTCCTCTCTGAAAGCCCCTCATCCTTGGCCCTGCCCCTTCTGCCCCCAGCCCTGACCATTGTGCTCTTCCCCTACTCTGTCCCCGCCCACAGCCCCTTACTTACCTGAGCCATCTCTGTGGGCCCAGGGGCAGTGGTGCCCAAGGGCAGGGTGCTCCTCTCAGAGATGGTGGGCTCCTGGCTGGTGGCCGGCCTGGGAAGGGCTTTAGGCCGGGAGGTAGCTGTGCTGACCGGCCGGGGGGTGGGCACCTCTGTGTCCAAGGGGAGCCCCGAGGTGGGAGGTGAGGGCGCCACAGGTGTGCTGGCTGGGGCTGTGGCGGCCGTGGTCAGCGGAAGAGGCAGAAGCCTCCAGATGCCGGTGGTCCTCACCACAGCAGTGGTGCCTGCGGAAGGGGGTGCTGCGGGGATGCTGGGGGCGGCGGTGGCCACAGTGGTGGGCATGGTGGCCACGGTTGCCATGGTCGGGGCTCCTGTCGTGGTGGCGGTGGTGGTGGCCACAGTGGTGGCCATGGTGGTGGCTCTCTCACTGGGCTCTTCCGGGACCTCTGTCACTACTGGGGGGCTGGTGACTGGCTCCGGGGTGGGGTGCTCGGAGGGCAGCTCTTCAAATGGGGTGCCCACAGGCTGGATGTCCGTGGTGGGCAGTACAGCAGGCGTGGTGGACACGGCTAGGGCCACATCTGGACTGAACCGCATGGCTGTCTCAAGGCCCGACTCCTGCTCGAAGTCTGAAGAGGTGGGGGAAGAGGGAGAGAGCTAGGGAGCTGGGTGACTGCAAGGGGCACAGGATCCTAGGTGACAAGGACTGCCAAGCTGGGGGACACCCTCCCTTCCCTGTCTCTCTCTGCTCAACTGTCTCAGGAGATGCGAGGAAGCAAGAAGGCACCGCCTGGCGAGAAGGCTACAAGTTGGCAAACTTCCCCTAACTCTTCCTTGCCAAAAATCCTTCTAGAGACCACCTCTTCCAGAAGGCCTTTCCTGACTGTTCCAAGACTACCTAGTCTAGAACTTCTATTAGATTGCATCCTGCCAGCGGAGCGGAGGCAGACACACTGCAGACCTCCATGGGACTGCGGGGAGCACTGGACAGGCCTTCAGTGAAGAGGCGGCAGACCCATGGAGTCCCCCAGAGGCCTGGGTGCAGCAAGAAGGCCTGCCTGCAGGGAGCCTGTGATCCAAACAAGGAGGGAACAAGCTGAGGGAGGACTGGAACATAGTGGTAAGGGAAGCCAGGGACCCTGAGAAAGGCAGAGGAGGGCTGGCAGTCAGAGGGGCGCTGGGATAGAGGTGGCACCTGTCAGAAGCAGGCTTTCAGCATAACTGTCCTGGAGAAGGGTTCAAGGAGTAGGTTAGGGGCAACCACAGGCTGGGAAGCTGCCAGTCTGTACGGCCCAGGCTTGCTCCTCTTTTCTCTGTGCCAGTCTGACTCCTGTCCCAGATCCTTCTAGAACTCTCAGAGGAAGGTCCAATTATGAAGCACCTGCCAGTGGCAGGGTAGCTCAGTGGTACTGAATCCTCTTCTCCAGGGCGGGGCCCAGAACCAGCCATGCCAGATCCCACGGGAGGCACCTGCCTGGCTCATTGCTATCCTGACCTTGCCCTTGGCGATAGCTGTTGGCACCACACAAGGCCGCCTATCAGGCTGTCTCTGTGGAGAGGCAGCTACGAAAGTGCTGCACATAGCTGCAGCAGTCCTGGGGACCCCAGACCACAGAGGGCATCTTTCTGCGTCTTTCTAACAGGACCCTGTCCAGAGTGGGCAACCCTCCCAAGCCTGGCTCTATATCCTCCTTGCTTTGGGGGTCCATGAGCTAGCCCCTGCTTATCCTCCTGGCAGTAAATTCACCCCGCCCCACTTAGCCTAGCCAAGTCCCTGATGCTGATTGGTCCTTGCCAGTAGGCAGGGCCAGGGTAGGGGAGGTTACTTACAGCCTGAGCCTGACCCCGAGTATAGGTCATCCAGTTCATCATCAGGAAAGGAGTCGTCATCCCCTGAGCCCTCCAGGTCCACGGGCCTCTCAAAGTTCTCACTGCGCCAGCGCTGTGTCTGGGAGGGAAGAGAGGGACAGAGGCTCAGGACCTGAGGCCAGCAACCTGGACATGCCAGTAGCCTCGGGGACAAGGGACATTGGGTGAGCAACTGAGAGCCAGGAGGGCTCAGTGCCCCCAGCCCCACTTCCACAAGGGGCCACTGGGCTATACAGACAGGTGGCAGATAGGTGTAGAATCTCAGCCTACCCACACCAAACGCCTGGCATTATCCCCAGTCCCCAGAGCCCAGGGGACGTGATGCGGTGATCCAGACAGATGCAAAGGCAGGGTCATCAGACACGGGCGCAGGGGAGGGAGTATCTTGGAGGAGGGCAGGAAGGGAACACAGATCCAACCCTGGCCCTGGGGTTCCCCTGCACTACCCACCCTATGGTGCCTCAAGGTCAGAGTCACAGTCAGCAAGCTACTCTCCCATCTGCTGTAAGGGTCTTGGTGAGATCAGGAGCCGGAAGGGGGCTTCTCCAAAGGATAACAGCCTAAGCTGGGATGAACAGGAATTAGGGTCCAACCCTACCCTCCTCCCAGCAGCCCTCTGGTTGGAGCCAATGTGCGGCACCCAGAGATGCATAAACTTGACCCTGCTCTACCACCCCACCATGCATAGCCCTTGGTTCCAAGCCTAGCCTAGGTATAGTAGACCCTGCCTGGCAGGAGGCAGGTGAGATAAACTCCTGATGGTAAGATACCAAGGATACAACATTTGGTTCTTAAGTAATTGAAATGGAGAAAGAGAAGGCCTCTCATGCAGAGGGAAGAGGGTAAGCAGTACAGCTTGTGCCTGGGAGTTGACCCTGCCCACCACCCTGTGTATGCCAGCCATTCTGCTCCTCCCGGCCCGGGGACATGTGTTCTGCCCCTTGTCCTCCAAGTTGGTGCTGGTCCATTCCCACTCCCAGTGCCACTTGTTTTGAGAAGCCCTCCTGCTGTGAACTCCCAGTTCACAATGCCTGTTATCTTGGCAAGCCACCTTGTGCAAGTAGGGCTTTGCTCAGTGACCTAAACCAGAAGATGATGGGTAAGGAATGGATGTAGAAGCTGTTGACTCCTTCACGGGCAGGTAGCACAGCGGGGGGATAGGATTGGAAAGGCAGTGGGGGTCCCAGCACAGCACGTTGGCACTGTCCAGCTCACAACTTTGGGGAAGTAGTCATTCTTTTGTTCTGACTGCACGTCCCGTACTGTTCAGCTGAACTTGAGGGTTCCATGCGGCTGGATACCTTGAGCACCAGCTGCAACACTGTCCTGGGCAATGGGGAGTCCAAGAAGGTGTGTGAGCAGAAGCAGGGCCTGCACTGGCACTGCGCATGCCCTCTGCCTCTCGTTTCCCCTTTCCCCACCCCCAAAAGCCCCTTGTGGAATTTGTTCTAAGCCAGAGAAGGGAATGCAGTCCTGGCTTCCTGCCCTCAGTCGGGACCACCTGCTCCAAAGCCCAACTCATCCCTGCCAGGGCAGGGAGCCAGGAGTTGCCCTGTCACAGTGCGTGCGTGCGCACACACACACACACACACACACACACACACACAAACTGTTGAAGTAATGAATTAATCAGTATTTACTTTCTACCAGTTGAGTCACGGAGTGGAACAATTACTGTAATTGCTCCCATGACTAATTGCTGGGTCTTCCTCCTTCTCAGACGTTCCGGAGCTTAGAGCAACTCTCGTCCAATCTGCCCCGCGCTCACTCTGCCCAGGAGATCCCGTCCCTAGAGCCAGGTGACGGGCAAGGGATGGAGACAGTGGAGCTCCCAGTTCATGGGCACCACATGGGCGCACAAGCTGGCAACTTGGCCCTGTGGCTCTGCTCCCAGGCCAGCAGCCCGACCAGGTCCAGGTAGGGCAGGGCTGAAAGGGCCAGGGCTCAGGCTCGGGCTCGGCCTCCGGGCAGGGCTGCACTGCCAGTGTCTTTCCAGGCAGGTTAGGCAAGGCCTGAGCTGCAAGATTCTAAGTGGTCTGATTACCATGGACCCCTAAGTTAGGCTTCAACTGGGGGCCGGCAAGGGTTTTTTAAGATTCCCCAGCCACAGTGCCTGGTTCCAGCAGGAACACCTGTTCCCAGAAACGTCCACCCAGGTCCAAAGACCCGCCCTGCCCACAACCATGCAGACCCTCAGAGTGACACCAGGAGACATGGAGAGCACACACAGACACACACCCCAACACACCACCTACAGGCAGCACAGGCAGCAAGCAGCGGTGGTGTGCCTTTGGGTGCAGATCAGCACCTGTACAGGCGGGCAGGGGCGGGAGGTGAGGGGTGTACTCTGCAACTCTGAGCTAGGGAAAGATATCAGCCCCCCACTCAGGTAGTGCTCACCTAGATACTATTCATCCCTAGTGCAGTAGCCATCGACATGACAACCGTTACCATGACGACCATCTCCTCCATGCTAAGACCTGGAGCTCCAGCTCCCCACAGAGATGGGGGGAAAGAGAGGGATCATGGAAGAACAGAGGGGATGACAGGGAGGGGAGGTGGAGGCAGGGATGGACAGGCAGAGGGGCAGAGGGGCACAGGGCGGGTGGGGATGAGAGGGAGGGAAGGCAAGAGTGGGTGGCAAAGAGAATGAATTCTCTCCCCGTCTCAACTTAGCCTGAAGCTGATGGGATCAAAGAAGCCGAGGAAGGAGCGACCTCCATGATTCCCCAAACCCGCACCCAGGAGAACATTCTCTCCCCAGCAGAGTGGGGACGGGGGTGGGGGGAGGGAGGACAATGACCCAGGCTCCCTGAGCCCGCCTTGGAACCAGTGGGGCTTGGCAGGCGCATCGAGGACTCCTGGCAGATGTAGCTCCTTGGGGAAGACAAGCAGCAGAGAAAACCTCCAGGGAGGAGGAGGAGGAGGAGGAGAAGGGTGACAAACAGCCTCTGACCCCCAAACGACCTCTGCATTTGCATAATCCCATACATAATGAATGTAATTATCCATGCCAGTCCCTTAAAGAAACACCACATCCAAATGCCTCAGGACCGTACTGGCCTCTCCCTGTCCCTCACTGTGCACCCTACAGAGAAACTCAGAGCCCCTGCTATGGGTGCTAAGAGGCTCCCACCCCACCAACACACATACATGCTGCAACTGAGAAATGACATGGGCAAAGTCCTCACACAGACACACTCCATAACTCAGCAGATACACTCACATACACACCAGCATACACACACTGCAACTGAAAGATGACACGGGCAGCGTCCCCATGCACACATACTACTGAACTCAGCAGACACACCCCCAGCATGGACATGGACATACACACACACACAAAGTAACTGACAAAAGGCCCTACCCAGTAGGGAGGCACGTCAGGGAACAGCCCCACGCACTCTGCAGCACACAGGCAACACGGTCGGCCACACACCAGCATACATCCAGCCGCTTACTACACACACCCCGGGATGCCCACAGACAGGCAGTGCTCCCCTCTCCTCACCTCACACTCCCGGTAAATGTCACACGCAAACCTCAGCGACATCTCCTGACCCCCTACTTTACATTTGCCTCACCCGAGGTCCACACTGAACTGCCCTCTGCCACCCCAAAACACACAAAGACACACACACACATACACACACACACGCACACACACATTCATCTCCTGAATAGCTCGCTTACACACCACAGCCCCTCCGACAGCAACACCAGCCTTTTCTCCCACTCATACCCCACATGGTGCACATGTCTCTGGGAAGCCCCAAGCCTCCTACTCCTACCACCCCACAGGACTTCCCAGGGCAGCAGGGAAGGCAGCCTTGGAGGGCACCCCAGAAAGCTTAGAGATCTCTATCCACTGCCACTAAGGACCTGCCGTCACCTGCTCTGCTTCCTTCCTGATCACAAACTCCTAGGGCTTTGCTATCCCCATTTCACAGATGCAAACACTGAGGCTGGCCCCTGAAACCTGACCCCTATCCATTCAGTAGCCACCGCCAGACATACAGCCCAATTGAAGTCCGGGTCACTTCACCTGTGACCCACAGTCCCTGCTCCCTACAGCAAGATGTCAGCTCAGCGATAACCACAGCCACCCACACCCACACAGCAGGTGGCCAGCACACCATGTGCTCCAGCACCTGCTGCTTCTCCCCAGCGCACAGCCCACACATCCCTGAATAGGCAGGCGCCCCACCAGGCGTACACCCCCAATGGCATGCCAGTCCCAGTCCCCTACACACACCCACACACACACATACACAAATATCCTTCCTGAAACAAACAAGCGGATTTTGAAAGGTTTGTGTAAAGTGAAATTAAAAAGATACATTTATTTTGATACCAAAACAAAGTAAAACTGGTGCACACATAGGGTTTTCATCAAATTCATGAAAAATGCACATCAAAACGTCTTGCATTTCACAATGTTTTGCACTCAAATGTCTTTTATTCCCTGTTTCCATGAATTTTTTTGAAATGCCTTTGTCCAAGTGTACATACGAAATGGCATAGCACGCTAAGCTTCTGCCTGTGGTACCAACACCATTGGTGCAGTCCCAGCTGCTCCATTTCCGCTGGCTCCCTGCTTATGACCTGGGAAAGCAGTGGAGGATGGCCCAAGTCCTTGGGCCCTGCACCTGCATGGGAGACCCAGAAGAACTCCTGGCTTCAGACTGGCTTAGCTCTGGCCCTTGTTGGCCATTTGGGGAGTGAACCATAGGATGGAAGATCTCTCTATAGTTTTCTAACTCTGCTTTTCAAATAAAACAAACTTTTAAAAAATGCTGGGGTTCCCTTGCCACCACTCCACCTTAAACTTAGCTCACAGGCCCTAAGGAAGAACCAGCAGTGATCATCAAGCCCCTGCCACGTGCCCTACCTTGCTAGTTTCCAAGCAGCTGAGGAGGCTGCCCCAGCTCCTCAGGGCCTGTGAGGAGGAGCCATCTCCTGCCATCTCCTGCCCCACCCGCTAACCCACCAGGACCAAGGTAGGTGAGTAACCCTACAAGAAAAGACAGGCATGCAAGCTTCCTGCATCACACATGCCACCCTCTCACCTGTCGC